TGGAACTCCAGGATCACCTCAGCTTTCCTCGTACATGAACTGGAAAGAATGCACCTGGAAAAAGGGTGACGGCAAAGATTCAGGTGTGATCCAGGCAAGTGATTTACGGCACAACGGCTTGCAATCTGTTTTACAAAGTTCTGTCATTTACTTCCGTCTTCTCAACAGAAGACATTATTATTACTTTGAGATAACATTTTCTTGACGAGAAGGTTATAAGCCGGGTACTTTGATTTGGCAAAATCATTTTAGTTCTCCAGCCTTCCTCTCTCTTGGAAGGGTAACGATCTTAACTGGAGGGGAAGTAATTTATTGAAAATCTCGAGTCGTATTATTATTATTATTTTTTTTAAAAATTAAAAAAAATTCTGTACATAGGGTTCAGAGCCATCGTAAATTTTCAAAACTCTAAGGGTCTCTGAACCTTATGTACAGATTTTTTTAGAACTTTGCCTTATTAAAATTTAGTAATATATAAAAAAAAAACTTTCACTGTGCCGTTTTTGAATTATAAGCCCCTAAAGCTGTATTGAAGGATGGTTTTAGCAGGTCATAATGTTGCTATGGTAACCTTTAGTGTCACGAAAATGATAACAAAGTGTTCTCCAATGATAGAGTGGGTGCATTGTCACGCAATAAAAAATAAAATCAAAAACCATTCAGCGGATAAAGTCAAGAAATTGTGATATTATAGACGATAATTAAGGAAGGCAGTTCTCCAAGTTTAAGGTGTGTGCGTCGTCCCAAAGTTGAGATAGTCGTCGAAATGTTCCGCGCAAAATTATAGAGCCTAGAATGGAGACACCCTCTTGGAGGACCTCCTTAGTCTTCCGATATAGTTGCCGGAAAATAGTGTAAACATCTGAATCTTACTTTGGCTATCTAAACAACTGATTATCTGAACCAAAAAACATTTACACAAGCACTTTTCCTAATACTTTAACTCCTAAAATGGCTATAAATCACGGGATAAGTGCATATTTTTCGAAAAACGCGATCTTAGCTTCATGTCACGCACCCCCATAACTCCGAAATTCAAAATACCCAGGTTTCCAAACGAAGGACGCTATTGAGCTGGAAAGTTGTAAACAGATATGACTTTAGTATCTCTTATGCC